ACCAACCGTCTTCCCCTAGACTGGGTTGGGTGCCGCTATTAGTTTGCTAGTGCTGCCATAACAAAGTACCACAAAGCAAAAGAAATTGGCAAAACAATAGAAATTTATTTTCTCAGTTTTGGAAGCTAGAAGCCCAAGATCAAGGCAGCATGGACTCCAGAAAGCAATGAGGGGAGGATTGATTCCATGCCTCTCTCCTAGCTTCTGGTGGCTTGCTGGCAATCTTTGGTATTTTTTGGCTATAAACACCAGATTTCTGCCTGTGTGTTCACATAGCATTCTCTCTGTGTCTGTGTGTCTAAATTTCCTCCTTTTATAATTACAACATTCATATTGAATTAATGCCCTCCTTAATGACCTCATTTTCACTTGATTCCTCTGTCAACACCCATGTCCAAATAAGGTCACATTCCCTAGGTTCTGGGCATTAGGAGAACAACATAGCTTTCTTTGGGGAGCACAGTTCAATCCATAACAAAGACTTTCCCCAGCACTGACATAAGAACCTGTATTTATTGTAGCATTAATCACCCTGGTCACAATTGTCTGTTTACTTGTCTGTTTCACTACCATGAGCTCCACAGGGCAAGGTCCAAGCTTTATTCATAGATGTACCCCTAGTACACCACCAAGGACAGAGCAGGTATTCAGTGTGTATTTGTCATCGTGTAAGTGTCACTCCTTTGCAAGCTTCACACATGCTCTAGGCCTTGGCCTTTCAGCCTTTGCAGGACCTTAAAACAATACATCCCTCTGATCTTCTTCGTCTTCAACTTCTCCCTTTTCTAATGAATTATTCCTCATAATTGCATTCCGACATACTCTTTATTTTACGTTGCAAAAATAAATATCTTCCTTGAAGCTCCCTGTTCCGAGCAGTCATGAAATCATTCTCCTCTCAGAGTCAGGCTTCTCCAAAGAATTATCTTCACATGCTGTCTTTTCTTCCTCACCTTTTATTCATTTTTTGAAAGCTCACTCCATTTAACTTTCTGCACCCGTCACTCTACCAAATGTCCTTTCAGTGAAGTTACCAATGCCCTCCATGTTTTCATATACAATGGACCCGTCGGCCTCGGCTTGCTCCTCTCAGCAACCTTCAGTAGAGTTTACCGGATTTCCTTCCTAAAACAGTCTCTTCGCTCCACTTGTGTGAGTCTACACACTTAGGGTTTTCTTGCTCACTTCCTCTACATGACCTCTAAATGACTGAACTCTCAGGGCTCCACTCTGGACTCTCTTCTCCTTCTAAACTAAAATGATTTCATCCATTTCCATGCTTTTAAATGCCATCTACATGCTGATAGCCTCTAAATTCATATTTACAGTCCAGATATCTCTTCTGAGCTCCAGACCAGTACATTTAACTACCTATTTAATATCCACTGCTCTATGAGAATACTCTCATACAAAATTGATCTCATCACTTCTGCTCCCCCAAACCTGGCTCTATTCCAGAGTTCTCCCATCCCAGTGAATGGTACAAGCAACATATTCAATTTACAAACCAATAACTGGAAAGTTATTATTGATGCCTTCCTCTATAATCCATCACCAAACACTATCATTTCTACCTCTCAGTATATCAAGTTCAATTCATTTCTTCCTATCTGTCACTGCTCTACAAGTCCACACTACTCCCATCTCTCACTGGTAATATTGTAATCAGTGGCTTCCCAAAATCTATTAGCCCTCCACTTCCATTAAAAGTTATTCTCCACATAAAAACCAGAGTGATCTTAAAACATAAAGTGGATCATGCCACTCTACCAAACACATTCAAAGAGTTCAAATCTCGCAATGAAACCCAGTGAGGTCTTGCAGTTTCTGGTTCCTGCCTACCTTCTCAGCCCCAGCTGTGCTAGTATTCGCCCATCACTGTGTTGTTACCACTCTAGCCTTTTCATGTTCCTAAAATTCGTCAAGGTATTTATCACCAGTGACCCTCCTGATAGCTAGCCCCTCTACTGAAGTCCTTCCTGCTCTTAACCCACCTAGTAACTGACTTTTGCTTGGCTTACTCTTATTTTCTTTCAAGTCTCTGTTCAAATGTTACATCTTCTGCAACATCTTCACCTATATTCCCAACCCAATGCAAATTAGGAGTTCTTGTTATGTGCCTTCCTAGCACCCTCTACTTGTCCTTTATAGTATTGATCATAGTATTAAATTGTGGAGAGATCATCAGTATATGCATAGTATTTGAAACCATGGAAACAATAATAATCTAGTAAGAAAGGAAGACATAAACCCATCAGCTATTTATTCACCAAGTATTCGTTGAAAGTCTCCTATGCCAAACATTCTTCTTGGTCCTGAAGTTGCAATGGGAAACTACCAGAAAATACAGCTACTACTTAAACCAGAAGAGCACCACTTCAACATGTCAGGTAGGAAAAAAGAATCAGACGCTACTTCCTGGTGATGATGATGGACTAAGAATAAAGGCTGACAGGGCATTAGCTGCGTGAAAAGCAAACATGGTGCAGGGTTTTTCAGCAAACACGGCACAGGGTTTTTCAACAAACACATGGTAAGAATTACAACCATTACATTTTAAAAAAAAACTAGTAACAACAAATGTTGGCGAGGATGTTGAGAAAAAGGAACTCTCCTGAACTGCTGGTGAGAGTGCAAACTGGTCCAGGCTGTGTGGAGATTCCTCAACCTACTAAAGATGGAGCTTCCATATGATCCAGCAATTCCACTCCTAGGTCTTTACCCAAAGGACACAGAAACATTAATTGGAAAGGGCACCTGCACCCCTATGTTTATAGCAGCACTATTTACAATAGGTAAGCTGTGGAAACAACTCAAATGCCCCAAAATAGATGACTGGATCAAGAAGATGTGGTATATATACACCATGGAATATTACTCAGCAATCAAAAAGATAAACTCATGCCATTTGCAGCAACATGAATGGAGCTGGAAGGGATCATGCTCAGCGAAATAAGCCAGAAAGAAAAAGAAAAATTCCAGATGGTCTCACTCATAGCAGGAATTTAGAAAACCTAAATAAAGGACCAGGAAAAAGACTAATTATAATAAAGAAAAAATCAAAATCAACAAACAACTATAAACCAGGGACACGCTATGGGGGGCGGAGAGGAAGTAGGATCAAAACAAGGGGGAGGGAATCATATGGGGACTATAACCAAGATGAAAATGCATACATTGTGCAAAAATGAAAAATTATGTAAAATATATATAAAATAAAATAAAAATGCTCCAAAAAAAATTGCAAGCGTTAAATGGTAACTTTTGAAATGGAGCCTGGCTGGAGATGAGATTGGAGAGAGAAGCTAGAGAGGGATCATAGAAGATCCTGAGTCCCATGTTGAGGGTTTTATTCTATGAAAATAGGTCTCAAACATCTGTGTGCAGTGAACTAGGCTGGATATGTAAGGGTTGGGTAAGTAAGGGGACATCTAGAAATGACATCCTGCACCTGTCCTTAAAGGGTTTATAATCTCACTCTGAAGATAGGACATATACATAGAAAATGCAGGGCTGTACTCACTACTTGTCAAATGAAGAGGAATAATTAAATGCTTCTCAGGGGAGGAAGTGACATGAGTAGGACAGTCAGGGAGAATACCAAGAAAAGCAGGGTCTGAAAGGAAAAAAATGTATTAATTTAGCTGAGCGAGGGAATACTGAACATTTGTATTTGTTCATACATCCTTAAAAAAAAAAAAAGCTTTGTTAGGTCTTAGCGTTTGGTTGTTTCATATTAATTATTTAACTATTCTGAAAATTAAGGTAAATAAGAATATTGGGATTTACCTGCAGAGGTTCTCTTTATAGGAAGTACTTTCAAGATCTGCATAGCCTATAGTAATATAAAAATTTACATTCTGAGCAGTTTGAACATGAAGGCCACCAGACTATAATAACTTTCAGGTCAGAAGCTGCATCTATATTGTCCCTATTCTATTCCTAACACATAGTACAATGACTGGATAATATTAAGCTCTCAATAAGTATTTTTATTGAGTAAATGAATACATGTATTATCTTCCCTATCAGAGCTGAATCTTTTTGCCCCCCTCCTTGGAAAGTAGCTTGAATATACCAGTTGATAATGTTAGGTAGCTGGTAACACATACAAAAATAAGAAACAAAAGCACAAGTAAGGCCAGAAGAAGGAGGATCTGGGCGGAGAACGGAAAGAATGAAATGAAAACACTGTGGTAGCTGTAAATGTCAGAGAAAATTCAACTTAGAAAAGAACGCCTTGAGGCAATCCACATGTCTAACAAATTGCTGTAAGTGCTCAATGCATATTTTTCCAGAACTGGTCTTCCACTGGGTTTTCACATATTTTATTCGATTTCTTCTTTATGCCTTTTAATCCCAGGCTAAGTAGAGGTGCAGCATTTTTCTTAGCCATTGAAAAGTCAGCCTTTTAGACAGAACTCGAGCTTGAGTGCTGAAGCAAATAAACTAGACCCCTTTACTTAGGGTGTTTCGTCATTCTTATGGGGGTAGTGCAGTTACTTCTCCTTCAACCCCGGGATTCCCAGTCTGACTTAACAAAAATACATACACAGAGAAAACTGAACACAATTAAAGCACACCTGCCAGCCCAAAATTGAGCTTTTGGGGAAATTAAATCCAGCAATTATTTTTTATCTGTCCCAGAAAGGTTCCCCTCCCATCTACCAGGAAGTGCTCCTCCCTCTGGCAGTGTAAATATGCTCAGGGAAAACTAGATCATTTCAAGGTGCTGGAACCAAGACAAGTCGGCTAACACCCCCTAACCCCCAAACACCAATCATCTAAAGAGATAGTTGGGGAATTACACAATATTTCATGTTATACATGGTGTTGTAAACTAATGTTCCCTCAATAAAAAATATTTTTTTCAGGTTACAGAGATTATAATCTATCCTGTTTTTCTTGTCAGCCTTGAAGTTCCCTGCGGATGGGAAGAGCACCTTGGCCTTCAGTCCACCATCATTTTTGTTGAGTGAATGGAGTTCATCCTTTTAAGATCAAATCCTCAGCTTCCTCAGGGCATCCTTGACATCTTTGTTTTTCAGACTGTAAATGAGAGGGTTACACATGGGAGTGACAACAGTATAAAGCAGGGAGAAGATTTTGTTGACAACTGGCACCCGACCAGCCAAGGGCACAGCATAGACCAGAATCAAGGTCCCATAAAACAAGGTCACCACCACTAGATGAGAAGAACAAGTGGAGAATGCCTTCTGCCTCCCAGCCATGGAAGGTATATGCAAGACTGTGGAAAGAATCCTCCAGTAGGAGGCTAAGGTTAGTCCAAAGGGGGCCAAAGTCACCAGTGCTGTTAAACTCATGCAGACCAGGTTGACAAGGTAGGGATCTGAACAAGAGAGCTTCTGCAGAGGTTTCAAGTCACAAAAGAAGTGGTCGATCTCATTGCCATTACAGAAAGTCAAACTGGACACCATAGCTGCCTGGAACGCAGCTGCCACTGTGAAGCCACTAAGCCAGGATCCAGTTACGAGCCCCACACATATGGTCCCATGCATAAGGGTTGGGTAGTGCAAGGGCCGGCAGATAGCCAGGTACCGGTCATATGACATCACTGCCAGAAGGTAACATTCAGTACTACCCAGAGCCCCAAAGAAATAGAGCTGAATAATACAACCTGCCATGGAGATCACTTTATTGTCTCTCAACAAGTCCACCAGCATCCTGGGCACAATATTGGATGTATAACAGACCTCCAGACAGGAGAGATTTGCCAGAAAAAAGTACATTGGTGTCTGGAGTCCCCGCTGAGTGCTCACCAGAACCACAAGGAGGAGATTCCCAGAAATAGTAGCTAAGTAGACAATGCCAAACACCAGGAAGAGTAAGGGACCCAATTCCTTGAGGTCTCCAAACCCCAATATGATAAACTCAGTGACTTTCAGAGTACTATTTTCTGGTCTCATGGAAGTCAGAAGTTCCTGGGGAAGTGTCAGTTTCCCCATGCTGTTATGTCAGATCACACTACATAGATTTCCTACACAGTCCAACTCTATCAGTAAATCAGAATGAATCAGTAAATTCTATCAATGGGTAGAGTTTCTGAAGCGATGATAGCCATCTCCAGGGATTTGTCCTCATCATAGCCGGTTAAATGTGCTCCCACGAAAACTCTTTTATGGAATTCAACTGATCCTGTCATCTGGTATGGGTGTGAAATATGGATGAGGGATATAAACAGGAGAAGGAATGGCTCAGTGAAAATCTATTCCAATCTGTAAGAGAACAATCCAGAGCACAACCATACTGATAGTAAGTCAAAACTCCCTCCCCACCAAAATTCACATTCAAAGGAGATGTGTAGGTCCATGCTTGACATCTGTTTTGCCATTTTGGACATAAGAAATTCACAAGGAAAATCTTTATGAAATGTTGACAATTCAAAGGAATGGCAGGCGAGATAATAAATCATATTTATGATCTTCTTAATCAGAGTGTGAAATTGGCACTGGTCTTCCATATTTGTTTTGTTGCGACATCCCTGAGCTTGAAGAATGGTAGTTGGAGGAGAGAATTAACACCTGGAAAGCCAGGTGTAATGTATATCCTAAAAAAGAAAAAAAAAATTCTTAGTTTTAAATCTTTCCCCATAAAAAGCATCATTTTAGCATCTCCCCAGCTGTATCATCTGGAGAGAAATCCCAGCAGCCAACATCTGAAACTTCACATCGCTGAACACACATGCACACACTTCCATCTGGAGCTACACAATCTAGGGTAGATAGTCACACATGCTATGATCCTGCTGTCACTTTTTAAATTTGTTTTTCCCAGAGCAGACATCTAGAAATGAAATATTTGCTCCATGGTTCTCTGCTTGCAGTTCAGATACACTGATATTAGGGAGATAGTGATCCTGGGTTAGATCTCAACATGTAAATTACCAGGCTTTCTATATACATCTAGGGCGGTGGGAGAGAAGCTAGCATGTTTTGTCATTTAATTTTTTTATTGGTCTGTTGTGTGAGGCAGTGTAGCATAATGATTCAATACATGAAGATTAGTGTCAGACTATGCAAAGTCAATTTCCAGCCTCTCCATTTATTTTGTGACTTTAGCCACATTACTTAAATTCTCTGGGCCTCAGTTTTCTTGTCTAAAAAATGAGGATAATAGTAGTTTCTCACAGTGTTATTTTGAAAATTAATTATATGTAATGTAATTAGAACCATATCTAACATATGGCAAGCACTAAATGAACATTATTTTTTCCTTACAAAATAAAATTCTTTATAAAAGAAGCCCTGCAGAAGCATGCATTAATCGGGCCTCCCCTGGTGGCGCAGTGGTTGAGCATTGGGCTGCAAGGCTGCCCGCAGTCTCTGTAGCGCCGGTTCATTCCCAGCGGCTGGCGAGGGTCCCACAAAAAAAAAAAAAAAAAGAAGCATGCATTAATCAACATTACTAATCACTATACGTAAACACAATTAAGCAATATAAATGCACAGGAGGAAAATTGTACATTTCTCATTACTACTTGCTACCTAACACCTCTTTATTGCACCACTTGATTTAACTTGAAGATAATTTAAGATAACACTAGTATGATATTTACCCAAAGACTATGAAACTCTAATACAAAAAGATGTATTCCCATCTTCACAGCCATATTACTCACAATAGCCAAGGCATGGGACCAACCTAAATGCCCATTGACAGATGACTAGATAAAGAGATTGTAGAATATATACTCAATGGAATCCTAATCAGCTATCTAAAAAGATGATACAGTGTTTTTTGGGGACAAGCTGGATGAATCTTCGGGTGATTATGGTAAGTGAAATAAGTCAGAAAGAGAAAAACAGTTACCGAATGGTTTAACTCATTTGGACACTATAAATAGCAAAAGAAAACAATCTGGCAAAAAATCAACAAAAATAATTCCTAGACTGTGAAAAATATACTAGTTGCCAGAGGGGGTGGGTAAAGAAGTAGGGGGTAAAGGAGGGAAGGTGATGAGGCATTGGCACTGCAGGTTTGGTGGAGGGTGACCAAAGTGTTTGCATATATGGAGAGGTGAAGTTGTATCCCCGGGTTATAAGTTTATGGAAATGATCGGTAAATCAATAAAATTGGAGGAAAAAATAGCACTGACTTTTTTTAAATAAAAGAGAAAGCAGTATCCATATATACAGTTATATAATGACTAGATGACACCATGTATATAAACTGCCTGTCGCATAGAAAAGTTCAATAAATTGGGCCTCCCCGGTGGCTGAGCGGTTGGCACTGGGTTGCGAAGCTGCCCAAAACCTCTGCAGTGCTGGTTCGATCCCCGGCCACGAGCGAGGGTCCCACATGGCATGCAGACCTCTCCTGCCGCCCGCTGCTCCCCTCAGCAGTGTACTTCGTCGGTCTACATGCTCTGCTCTCCCCTCTGGCTCTGGTGAATTCTCTCACCCTCCCGCGCTTCTGACTGTACCCAGTGCTTGTATAAATAAATAAATAAATCATTAAAAAAAGAGAAAAGCTCAATAAATTGTGACAATAACAGTACTAACAACAATTTCCCTGAAAGCAAATAAATCTGAGCTGATATTATTTAAATACAGTTCTGTGAGATTGCAACAGACAGGCCAACTCACTGCCTGCTATTAATTACATGTAGACATGTATTGTTCGTTGTCCGATATGCAAAGGGTTCTTAGAATTCTGTCTAAAAAGGCAAATTCTCCACGATAATACCTGATACCTCTAGGCCAGTCTTCTTCCTACACAGGTGCTTTACACCTGTAAAGCTGCATAAAAAAATACATGTGCCATGGGCGTCCACACTGCTCTCTTGGTTACTTTGGCTCCGGTTTCAGAGGAAACTCGGGGAGTTTTGGAGTTTTTCAGTCCAGACTTTCACCTCTTCCTCAAAAAATTTGCCCCAGACTCATTCTTCTTGGTCTCCCCCACAGTGATGCCATTCTTCCCTATTTCTTTTTACAAATTAATCCCGACTTTGACTGTCTTCCTTCTTTCCTGATTTATTTTGATTTACAACACCTAATACATTTTACTTAATTCTCTTCTAATAGTCTGTATCCTTTTATGTCAGCTTCACAAGAGAATGGATTCTCTCTCTTTCATTCACTACCATATCCCCAGGATCTCGAATATTGTTTGACCCAGAATACACACAATAAATATTTGCTGAATGAATTGTTGAGGCAATAAAATATAGTGAATGGTGTTTTTACCCTGGAGCCAAACAGACCCATGTTCAGATCTTAGCTTTGCCACTTATCAGTATGTCACCTTGGGTCATTCACTTGACCTCTATATGCTTCTATTTCCTCATCTGTTAAGTAAGAATTGTAGCAGAGGCTGCAAGGTGTTCCAAAATATCCATTCTCTCCTTCTTCTATAACAGGGATTAGCAAAGATTATTTTTTAAGGCCAGAGGATCTTTTGGGTTTTTCAAGCTATCTGGTATTCGTCACAACTACTGAACAATGCCACTGTAGCAAGAAAGCTGCATTAAAAAAAATACATTAATGAATGGAATGACTATGTGCCAATAAAATGTTACTGAAAATTGTTGTTGGGCTCTTTACTGACCCTAATAGCTGGAGCCGTGGCTGTCCAGCTGGAGTCCTCATTTCCTTTGTAGCTGGGTCACATCAATAATTTGAATGGAGGGCCTCCCCTGGTGGTGCAGCAGTTGAGCGCTGGGCTGCGAAGCTGCCCGCAGCCTCTGCAGCACAGCTTCGATCCCCCAGCCACTGGCAAGGGTCCCACATGGCACAACAGACCTCTCCTGCCGCACCCGCTGCTCCCCTCAGCAGTGTATTTCATCCCTCTGCTTGCTCTGCTCCCCGCTCTGGCTCTGGTGAATTCTCTCACCCTCCCGCGCTTCTGACTGTACCCAGTGCTTGTATAAATAAATAAATAAATAAATAAATAAATAAATAAATAAATAAATAAATAAATAAATCTTTAAAAAATAATAATAATTTGAAGGGAATATTATGTGCAAATTTCAGATCATGCCCTTAAAAGAAAAATTCATATCCTTGCCTTCCCCCTTCCCTTTTCTCCATTGGCTGAAATACTGACTGCATAGCAGAATTGAGAGTTGCCATCCGGGGCCATGAGATGGAAGCTGAGTATTAAAAATAACAGAGCAAGAGTACAGAGGAATCCTGGATTTTCAACATGGTATGTCAGAATAATCCTATGCAGTCTACCTGGTCTTTCTGTGGAGATAAGTGTATTTCTATTTTGTCTAAGTCACTGATTTTTTTTAGTGTTTTTGTTACAACAGTTTAACCTATACCCTAACAAGTGATTGTCTCCTGAGTTATTGTAATTACTCAGCCAGGTAATCCATACAAATTACTTAGCACAATAGCTAGCCAACAGTAAATGGCAGCCGTTATTACAATTTCTGTTACTAGTAATTTCATCCCCCTTTCCACTCATCCCTTTTTTCTGGAATCTCTAAATCAACTCTCATAACCTAATTTTGGTCCCCTCAAGACCCAAGGCTTGGTCAGGCCCAACAACCTTTCAGATATATTCAGCAACTAACTCCCTATCCCCATGGGCTCAACAACTTCCCACTCTTGTGGGAAGGGAATTTATTAAACACAAACAACCAGATTTTGCCCTTTTCCTGAATAAATCACAAATAACACATTTGACTGATTTGGCCTTGTTCACAATCCAACAAGCTAAATATGCAATCTTCAGACTGTGTTATGGGTAAGCCAGGATCAGTAGTGCTCAACTGGGGGTGATTTTGCCCCCTACACATACATTTGGAAATAATCCACAGACATTACTGATTGTCACAACTGGAGAGGGGGCTGCTCCAGGCACATGGTGTGTGTGGAAAGCTGTTGAACGCTCTATCCCACAAACAAGCCCTTGCCACAACAAAGGGTTGTTTGGCTCCAAGTGTTAATAGTGCTGCTCTTCGCTGGGTTGCGAAGCTGCCCGCAACCTCTGCAGCGCT